TGAACAATTTTTTGGTTGATAAGGCCCAAGACGTTGTACCTCTCATTTTTGTTCCAGCGGCAGCTGCGAAAACGGAGTGCGAAGTAGTGCATCAACCTTATTCATTATGAGGTCTAAGGCTAAGAAATGCGAAGCCGGAAAGAAGTGAGGAGCTCAAAAGGAATGTGGAAAATCGAAAGCAAATGGACTAAAGGTCTCTAACTGTTCAAATAGCGAAACAAGCGACAAAAACGAAGGCGAGGAAACTATCAACTCTTCAAGCAACCAACGAACGAGAAGGAATGCGTGAATATGTCAACACGTTGTTGTAAGAAACGTCGGCATTGTGTCGTCATAATTTCGGGGCTAGCCCCGATCGGCTCCGATGATTTAGTAAAAGAAACAGAAAACAAACGAGACAAACGCGGCGAGTGGAAGATAAAAGAGAGAATACGATATACAATGAGCAACCGGGGCAAAATCGGCGTCGCCCCGTCGACGTTCGGCGAAGGCTTTGCAAGCAAAAAATGAACCATGTCGGGAGAATATGGCTAGTGTAGACAGTCTGTGCAACCGATATTGAGGTATTTTTCGAATATTTTTTATTATACCGAAAAAAAAACCGGCCCTATTGACGCGCCGCCACTGCCTGTTAGACTAGAAATTATAGCGCCGGGCGCTTAATAGCAGTTATCGAACGGAAATCATTCCGATTCTATCCTAAGGCTTTGTAAGAGATTTGTTCTGGGTAAGGACATGTAACATGTGTCGAGATTGCAATGGTGAGAGAGAGACTTTATAAATCTGGCGACTGTCGAGCTGGAGTGCAATAGTTTGAATTTGAATACGTGATAAGACAAGACACTGGTGAAGGATTCTATCTGGCACACAAACCTATGGATCGTTTTTCGAAATTGTTGTTGTTATAGTTGTCAGGATGTCCATAGCGAACCGAATATTTGATCAAATCTTGGCATCTTATGTATCAAACTCCACCTCCTTGCAGATCTGTTACAAGGATATATTCAAGAATAGCGTATAGAGTTTTTTTTAGAGTGTTCGCTTGTAACTCTTCTTGATAATTTGAACCTTGCTCCGTTTAGCAAGATTTCATCTGAATAATGGGATTCTGCGCAATTGAAATATAATATTCGGACTAAACGCGCTCAACTTCTTGTCAATGTGAAAAATCGTGTAAGAATGTTTGTCTCAAGTTTTCTACGTTACTAATACACCAATCGAGTTGAAATTTACACCGTACTTGAATATGAGAAAACGTTGGTGAAAGGTCATCACTTTTATTCGAGTCCTATGGGACTGGTTATTTCACCCCAATTTTTTACTTTTCATTCCAATCCATGGGTTGCCAGAGATGAGTGTAATTTACTTCTGAGTGAGTGCGCACGATACACAATGAGATAATCACCACCCTACTGTATTAATGAATTTGAGTATATTTGTCAGCAGTCAATATATATAAGAAGTCCCTAAAAACACAGTACAGTAATTCACTTCTACGTAGATTCAGTAGCGTTTGGGCTTCATTGGTCGTATGTAAATATGCTCAGAGATGAGTGTTCTGTACTTACGAGTGAGTGTGTAGTTACACCATGGGATAATCACCACAGTTATGTACTGATAAATTGGAACAGTGGTTCTCAACGTTTGGTCTCTTGTGGGCCATTTTCAGTGTCAAAAGAAATCTTTGGCCCACATAACCTTCAATATAAATTTCTAGTATCACAATGAGTTTTATTATTAATATAAAGAACACAGATAAAGTGCCAAGGACCAATCTGATTGTTGTGTCTATTTATAGCTTGTCAAATTGAACTTCCAAAGCTTGATTCAATTTCAACCATACATTTTTCTGTTTTATTTCCACAATTTTGAACTTTTTATTTCTAAATACAGGCGTATAAAAGCACTTTAGCATGAAATAGCACTTGCGTATATCATTCGTTCATTTTCTATATTCATGTCATGTTTTGAGACTTTCACAATTTTGTTTTTTGTGCACACATTTATGTTTGTGCCATAATTCATATACATATGATACAAAAATAGGGAGCGTTGCGCGGGCATCGAGAATGCAAAATTTTGTCCTAGGCTTACAGCATTCGCGACAGTGCTGTTACATACGTTTCTCTGCGATAACTACCTAATATCTAACCTATTTATGAAACGATGAAGATCGACCAACGTCGTATAGATACCACCGAATGGTCGACGATTGGTAGGTAAATGAAATTGGACATGAAAAGTATTTTCAAACGACGACTGGCAAAGCGAGGCGACATACTCGTAATACTGAAATTTATTCAACGGTCTTTCGCTGCTAACGACACAAAACTTTCAGTTCTTTAAACGCCTTACGGCGCTGCGCATGGTACCTTTGACGCAATTAGATTTTGCTTATGCTTCAACTTCTGGTTGTGCATAATTGTACCCGAAAGTTTCAGTAATCTAGGACGCTTTGCACGAAAGTTCCAAATCACCTCAAAGTATAGGAAAAAGACTTTTTTTTGCGCGTTGCGCAAAACAGTCAACACACACACACACTCCGCTATGAAGAATGAAGATATTTCTGATTTGTGTTGGAATTGCAGTTTTGAGTTCACCGATTGTTCGAGAATGTTCTGATAAACGTTTTTCTCCGAATATCCCCACAGATGAAAATCTGATGTGCACAAGTCCAATGAATGAGGTACTCACTCAGTCGACGTCACACTTCTCAGTTCTCGCTGACCAACTTTTTCTGAAATCGCTCTCTTATCCAGTCTAGGGAGTGATTTGATATGTGGAGGATCGCCCTGTCTTGCTTAAAACACTCTTCTACGTCGCCCAAATGATGCCCAGCACTTTCTCAGCACCGTCGCGTAATTATTCACCGCTTCATTTGCGTTTTCAGACCAATATGAACCAGCTATGTAATGTTTGAAAATGGCATCCCAATGCTGCGCAATATACTGAGTCAAAGGGTTCTCTGTAAGCCTTTTTTCGGAGGTGTTGTACCCAGATAATCAATTTTTTTGTCATTGACATACCCAGGCAGCAGAAAGTGCACTTCGGCAGAAAACTGAGTTGAGGATTGACAATTTTGCGCAGAGGAAACAAATCAGTCTTCTATACCCAAGAGGTGATTTGGAACATTAGCTTGTGAGAACATGACTTTTGTGCAAAACGCCATAGATTTCTGAAATTATTGGGTACAATCATACACAAACAAAATCAAAAATTTTCCTTCATTTTCACAGAAGTAATTAGGAAATTTCTGGGATCCGTTTTTTGCGGTCACCCTATAATTCCATACCTGTAACCATCTATGCTTCAAACAGAAATATATTAAGCATATTCCAGTCGTAGTTCGCTATTTTTACCTGAAATTGGTAAGAAGATAAATTTCAGAATTTAAATCTCTATCTGGTAGGAGCTCTGCATCCAACGTGCCATAAATACTTTGCCCCATTTTCTCAGTCTTGTTGTCAAAGCGTATTATTTTTTTACATTTATACTGACCGAGCTGAAAATGATTCCGCAATGGTTGGTTTCTCTTCTTATTACCTGACTAGCAAAGGATTATTGGAGGTTTTAAAAGTTTATACAAATCTTGAGACTGATATCCTACTCGTGTTCAGCATACGAACTTTACTTGAAATTTATCCTTGGCCCGGCTCACCTACTTCTATAAAATTGCTCTGATTTTGGGAAAGAAAATGTACACCGTGGAATCGTAGTTGTTGCAAATATTTAGTCAGAGGTGAAGCTAAAAATTTATACTTCGTGAATCGACGCAAAACCGACGTAACAATATTTAAAAAGATGTTTGTGAATTTCACTAGAAATGTCTCTCGTGTATAGGGCTATATAATGATGTTCACACTGCTATCAGGCCCAACATGGAAAAGCGATTTTTATCTGCTGACAAATATTTTTAGTCTGAATAAACAATAATTTCGTGTTTTTTCAAAGCTGTTAAATACCAGTAGCGGAGATATTTTTAATACGATTTACAGCTAGTTTTGATGTCCGGTATCTACCTGTAAAAGTTGAACTAAACCTTGAAATCGAATCAAGGTTTGTCCAATCCGTAATGTCCCAGGTTTTGTTTCAAATATATGGTAGGCTGCTTATACTCGAACCAGGTACTAGAAGTTTAGAAGCCATGTATTGCAGCCCAGCAATGTACTATCATCGATATAGTACGACAGTCACGATATACTTGCAGTCGTGACTTGGCTGTGCCCCGCAAGCTGGAGTCGCTCGCAAGAGAAGCGCGAAACGTAATGTGCGTCTGAATTTTGTAACGGTATGTGAGATTGCGGTCGCGGTAATGTTAGGATAGGATTTATATATTTATCCCGGGGGAGAGGAAAGCCGATAAGACGGCTTAATCATATGGCGAATCACGGCCTCTCGTCCGGTTACCAGTCCAGGTCGGGTATGGGATTAGTTAGACAGTTATTTGTTTTCGGAAGCATGGGCTTAATGGCGGAGGAAGACGTAACCGACCAGCGGTTACGTGAACCACCCTACGGCGGCGAGGAGTCTAGCAATCCTCTCGCACGTGATCATCCACGCTTGGGATTCGAACTTGCGATCCCACGAAGGGTAATCAAAGATGCGGTGGCGAGCGTATTCCTCACGCTTAGCACGATGCGCCACACCGCCGAGCCTATCTTTTTTAATAAACATTACCTGGATCACATCGGCGTGCACTGCGCTCATTATTAATACGATTCGTTTTCTATGGGGGTGTAAAATACACAACTCCACTGGGCACATGACTCCGTAACCGAGACACTTGTGGCGGCTTAGAGGCCTGGAATCCTCTTGCACTTGATATGTAAATCCTATCCTCCTATATCAGCGCATTCCTCACACTTCGTACCACGGCACTCACCACAAGTTAATCTTGAACCCAACAAGGCATGATAAAAAAAACGCATTATCTAAAAATAGTTGGATGTGATCAGATGTCAACTGTATTCTAGCCTTTGCGAATTTACACACATTTCATAGAAAATGTAGAAATTTTATTGAAAATTAGGTCTTCACGCAATATCATACATAATATTATCGACCTAGTTTTACATCAGAACTACCACGAAAGAAAATTGTTACAAAGTGTGAAATAACTATGCTACCAACCAACCATAATCCTTGGATCACAAGATATCATACATTGCGCAATAAATCGATTATGGAAAGCAGTATTAAAATTAGTGAACCTGTGCACGTGAAACGAATGAAATTTTCTGTGAAGATTTACATAAAAAATGAAGAAAATATCAAATAAATCGCTGAAACAAAACAGAAATAACTAGTAACTGCACTGCGCTTGTAAAGTGTTAGCTTCGCACAGGATTTTTAAACCATTGTATGTGATACGTCATCATTGAAGTTGAGCAATGGATGTTATTGACAACCAATCCAATCATTGTATTTTGTATAAATAGCTGTTTATTAGGAAGCAGTAATGTACCAAAATTAGCTTGTTTAGGATAAGCTACTTATTACTAATTATCAAATTTCGGACAAACTGACAAACAAAAGCAATATCTCTAACTAAAGAGAAACAATAATCACCAATTATTTTAACATTATGAAAGTCTGTAAAATGACCTTTGGGATGGATGATCATTCAATTAGTCACTCCAGTTAAACTATATTTTTCTCCTAATAGGAACAAGGCAAGTTCTCATCCCAAACATATAATGAGATAGGAGTGTGAATAGCACTTAATAATTAATTAAATGAGTGATTTCGCTGCCATGGCAAGCATCCTCATTTGTTTTATGACTGGAGTATTAGATGCATCCGTCGGTGATGACACAAGCGTAGCAACATGAGCTTCTAAATTCTTGACAAGTGCCTCCAGGACACCTTGCATATGTTCTTGCGTAACTTGATGCGATGAATCCAAATTCATGACAGCTTCTTGAAGATATCTAAAGAGAATTTGAGTTTAATTATAATTATTTATATCAGGGGTGTGCAACCTTTAAAACAGGAGGGCCAGATACAAATACCTGCATAAAACTGCAGGCCGCACCTTTATTTGATATAGGCTTTCTAGTAGTTGCAGACTTGCAGGCACAACAATTTTTGTTATTGATCGTAGGACATGCGTTGTACGCATCGCACAAGCTAGCTGTTGGGGCATTGTAGCGCCATATGCATAGATAATAGTTTGGACTCAGTCATAGGCTTCGCAACGCGGAGGAATTGGATCACTCGCACGCAAAAGATTAAACTATAATAAAAACTGCTTTTGTGGGCCACACACCATTCAAAATTGGCACTTCTACGCGGGCCGAAAAAATTTTGTGTGTGGTCCGCATTAGGCCCGCCGGTCGCATTGTATACCCCTGATTTACAATACAGCAGTGGTTCCTAACTTTTCTTGAAATTTTCCTCCCTCTGCCCATTTTGAGACTTTTAACACCCCCTTAAAGTACACAAATACTCCAATTCCGTTTACAGTTCAATCATCAGCGGAACATTCACCGGTGAATAATATGCGCAACTTGCACTCAGCCTCGATTAGTTTATATCAGCGTCAACATAAATATGTATTTCAACAATACTGAAAAACCCAATATTACTAATACTCAAACACTTATGAAGAAAAATTACCTTCCCCAAACCAGTAAATTTTGCGGTTGGGAAACGTTGCAGTAGAACGACTTTCATACTATTCGCATAACTTGAATATCATGCAATCTAGCTGATCAGATACAACATGACCATAAAACAATTCTAGTGCTCCTACTTGATTGAAATATTCTCGAATAAACTTACTATTCTATTGCCTACATCTTGTATTTGTATCCTATTTTATATATTTTTTGTCTGAAATTGAAATCACTTACTTCATCTTAGTTGTCGTGTTGCGTCCAAGATCACATGATAATTGTTGAATTAGAGACAATAATATTGGTTGATGAAGTGGACATGGAACAGTTCCAAACACTATTGCAGGATCAACAGTTTCACATACGTACATTACCAAAGCAAGATCAGAGGCTGTCAATGCCTATAGTTGAATGTAAATGAATATGAATCGTCCCAATTAAATAAAAATGTAAAACAGAACAAGAGAGCGATGTTCAAATATAAGGACACAAAGTAGTTCCGGTATGCAGTTTGTCACAGAGCCTACCGGTACCATACCGGTACAAAAGAGCGCAATCTTTAAATTTGAGGACGTCATCTCACACAAAAATAAATTGATTCCCTTATAGGCCACGGTAATTTTTGAATAATATAAAAGCAATATTCGAAGCAATTGGTCCAGTAGTTAATGAAAAAAGCGATTTTTCCATACGGTCGCAACAAGAAGAAAAACTTAATAACAAAACGATCCACTTCGTGTTATATAATGCAATGTTCTATACTCTCTAGTCAGCTATGGTAGCATTATATGTGATGCAAGGGTCTTGCTGCACACCAGCAAAAATGTATTTCTGTAATAGTTGTTAGGTGACCGAGGTCTTACTAAAGCATCCCTTCAAGTTACAATACTGGCATTTGAATCAACCAGATCAAAGCCATAAATAAAGGATATGTATTTATTCAGTTCTGTGCAACCCCAATTGATAGTTATAAAAACCTCAATTCAAAGTATGATACTCAATATCAATGTAATAAAATGGGCGCATGTTCTCTAAACAACGTAAGTTCTATTTCTATACTTCTATTTGGCGTGGTACAACCAATTTTGCATATGTTATTCCTAACCCCTACCTGGCTCCGTCATCCAAGGATTATGTCACTACGACCTCACAATCACGTCAAAGAGCTTGCCAAAGTATACCTACGATCACCCGAATGGGCATCTTTGCCAACGATAACAAACTCACTTACGTCAGCGATCTCTCTCATATCGGGTGATCGTCTGCGAGTCTTGGATAACAGTTAGTATAGTTTGGAAGGCCTTATTATGATAATGTGACTTCGAAGTGACGGAATATTTGAATGGCGTAGTCAGGTGGGGGTTAGGAACAATGTTCCCTCTAATTTTTTGTAGTATATGTGCGCAGAAATTTTGGTGTGTGCGCACTTTTTTGGAAATGACTAACATTTGTGCAAAAACCAATTCAGAAATTTTGGCGTTCTAACCGGGTAATGGGTGGGCCAACAACAAACTTTCTCAAGCTGCCATTCAAGAACATTGTTGCATTACATCGAAACACGTCTGTGCGCAGTAAATCTATGCTTGTGCGCAGCCTCTGAAAGCTGTGTGCGCGCGCACACGCGCACACTTTAGAGGGAACACTGGTTAGGAATAACATATGCAAAAATGGTTGTGCCACACCATCTAGAAGTACTTACGTCGTGTTGTGAACATGGCCAATAAAAAGGGTAGGTCATGTCAAAAAATAAACCATCTTTCAAAGCCCTGTACCTCTTAGTGGTAGCCTGCCTAGAGAGCTGCTACAGCACAGAGCTGCTATTGTTTTTAGACATCCATAATGATAACTTGGTAACCCAAAATAATCTCATTTTAATTAGATCACTTACTCTTTGGAAAGCAGAATTCAAATTTCCTTGATGTAAAAGATTCAGAATCGCCTGCTGTTGCATTTCAAAGGTTGGTCGAAGAGGTCCAGGTGATCTTCCAGGAGTGGACGGGTGGTTGGTCTTGTCTCCTGGTAACTTTGTGCGAATTTGATGTTGTTGAATAGGCATTTCCGCCATTGTCGTTCGAATGCATTGGGTCAACAAAGCTTTTTGTTCTTTGAGAGCCAATTCATTTTGTCGTTGAAATGATTTAGACATCTCTGCTATTAAGGTTTCTTGTGCACTGGTCAAAAAGCAGATTTAGATTAGAAGGGAGGTTAAAAATATTGTAATTATGAGGTCATTACGTAAGAGATTTGGCCGTAAATACGAAATTGATTTTAGTCGCTCACTTACTAAGACATCCTTAGAAAGCGAGTTAGTCATATAATATGTTATGACGAACAAAAACAACAAATTCTAATAACATTTTGCATTATTATTAAAATATGCTTAAACTTGTTCATCGCAATACCATTCAGCGGAAGCAACAAGGATAAATCTTAAACAAGAATAATATTTTTGTAGTTGTACCTTTTCATTTCCGAATTTATAAGTGTTCGCATGTCTTGTTCTACAGCTGTCGTAATTTTTGTTCGAGCATGTCCAGCTACATCTCTCAATTCAGCCGTTGCTTCTCTCGCTTGTTTTTCAGTTGACTGTAATCGATCCAAATCAACTTTTACTCGAGACTGAATTTGTTTCTCGAGCTTCAGTACAACTAGAATTGGAATCACAAAAAAAATTTTCTTTTTCATAAGTTAAGAAAAAAGGAAAAAGTTGTGGGAAAAAGCTTTGCGTGAAAAGTATAATCTAGGGTTGTAGTCCGGGTTATATCATACAAACTTTCTCTAATAAAAATTTACAAGTCATTAAGCTGCTTGGAAAAGGGTTTTCAATGCACAATAGCTAAAGCAATGATAAATATTTAAAAATATATCATCACACAAGTCTTGTATAATCAAAAGATTTATTATGTGCTTGAATAACTATGGCTGGGGGCGTGGTTTGAAATCAGGAAGGCTCTGACTGAAAGTCTCGTATTTTGTTTTTACAAAATTTTAAGCTGAAAACTCAGAGTTTACTGTATGTACGAAGCATTAGAAAATTGTGAATGTGAAAAAATAAATAATGGTTAGAAGCCACTGCTGCTAAAATTTCTGGTAGCACCGGTTTCCGCTAATACGGTGAGCTTGGCTCCAGCTTATCAGCCCTACAAATAATTCAACTTACCTTCATCCATTCCTTTTTGAAACACTGTGGACAATTGTACGAACATATTATTGCATGATTTCTCCATCATTGGAACAACTATTTGTGTGAAGGAATCACGGAATGCGGAATGAACTTGAGATTGAATTGCTCGACCTGTTGAATTCCCAATTGCTTCAACAGTTTCCTTCAAAAAATATTGGAGGCAAATAGGATTTTTTATACTGATTCCAAAACGATGCCGATAAGACATGAACATATGGCATGGCAGACTGGATATTAGACGTGCTAATTTAGCAGCAAATCATTACAGATGCATGGACTTGGTTGATTTTCTATACTAAATTCAAGTTTTATTGATATCAACGTTCTCTTTAAATGCAACAAATTCCAAACTATTTGGTTATTATCCCATTCAGACATGATTAAAGAGAGATACAAAAGTACACAATTGGGTACTCCCGTAGTGTGTGTACCAGGTTAGGGTTAGGCCATAATTTGATTCCAATTTTCCTTTTTTTAGTTCTATTACAGGTTCTGTGTTAGCCAAGTGAATATACCCCCTGCTCATAGGTTTCAGTTCCTTCACACAACTTGATGTAAAGTAGGCGAATAAAATTAGTTACCTCCAAATTGGTACACACACTCTGGAGCGCCCAATGGAGTATGGAAAGACTGTTCAGAAATATAGTTCAAGTCTATGTTTCGAACAGAATATGATTCAACGAACAAAATTTTCACAGAGAAATATCACTAATGTTAAAAGAATCTTCACTAATCTTGGTCAAAAATTTTTTGATGAAAAACATCTCAACCCCTCATTATGTTAATCGTTCAATGGTATCAAATACAACCTCACCTTTGACCTCACTAGCTTTCCCAAACTGTCTTTAAGAACTGAATCAGTTGCAGTCAACTTTTGCGCAAAAGAACTGTGAAGTTGATCTTTGAGCGGATCAAGACTTCTGCTCAAACCTTGATACAAAACATAGTATAATAAAACAAAAGAGCGATGCTCAAATATATGGACACGGAGGGCGAAACAAAATATTTTATCATAAATCCCCGAAAATCATATGCGGTGAGGTAACTTACCAGTACCGTACCTGTAGTCTGATATTTGATCGCGGGACTGCTGTAAATTAGTTACAAACAGTGTTCCCACAAGTAAAAATAATACAGCGTCATTTTGAATGAATTATCAGTTCTCATAGAATTCATAGAAAATTTAGGAATAAGTAAAGTAATAGCCTTCTAGTGAAGAATTCAATCTTTAACCACTGAAAATTTCAAAGCAATTGGTCCAGTAATCAAAGAGAAAAGCGAATTTTTCATAACGATAAAATTCTATGTCAAAGAACAACAACATAAAAACAAAACGATCCATAGGTCCATTACGAGTCCAATTACTCTCAAAGGCAGTAAATACAAGTTTTGTAACATTAGGAAGGCTTACCAGGCAACACAGTATTTTTTACTTCATGTTTAATACTCCTTTCCATTTTACCGACAGCTTGTTCGTTCGCAGACGCCATATTTGCTCGAGTTTCTGCCTGAAATTTACGCTGGGAATCTGACATGCTCTTTAGAGCTCGTTCAAGCTTTTCATCTGGTATGAAGAAGTAATTTTTGTTAACGAATGTTTATATTGTTATTTACTTGACAGACTGTTGCTGAATAACAATTGTACATGCTGGAAGTAACACATTGTGAAAACTGAAAACTTTACAAAACCTTTATGACCTTAGTAATTTCACTTGATAGTTGAATAATGCATGGCCGCGGAAGTCGGACTTTGGTCAGACAAACATTGCAGAAATATATTTGTGTTGATGTGCAGCAAGACTCTCGAATCACTAATTATAATATTAATAATAGTGATGTTTCAGCCAATCAAACTGAGGGCGATTTATTGGAAAAAGTTTTCTGGAAGGCAATCCCGGAATTTACCCCTCCACAGGCCAAACCTAACCCTCCGTTAAACAATATGTAGCAAATCATGATACATTACAGGTTTTTTGGAGAATTGATAGAAATGGGTTATCGGCCACTAGTTTGCTGATATATTGATATCGGCATCGGTGCCAAAAAGTGACATCGGTGAGGCTCTGCAAATAACTAGACGTCTGATACATGTTTATAAATTAAATTCAATTCAAGACAAATAAAATATTACTTTGTTGTTGGTCAAACTTCTTGAGAGCAACATCAACATTTTTCATGATTTGATTTGTTTTCTTGTTAATTTCTTTTTGATGAGATTTCATCAAATCTTCTTGTTGCTTTTGCAAATTCACAATAGCTGCCAGCAAATCTGCGCCCTGGTTTATAAATGATAGAAAATGAGAATTGCATAACATAATTCCAGTGCCCAGCAGTTAAAGCATTGGACAGACATCGCAGATTACACATCTCAAGTTCAAATCCCATGCACCTCGCCCAGGTGAAATAAATTGAGTAAACTATGCGGTACCGGAAACGTTACGATTCCTCCAAACAGAAAAAGTAATTTCTCACATACAAGTGGTTGTCTATATAGGGCATGGAAGGGTGTTTATGCGCCATATAAAAATACCAGTTGACATGACTTTTCAATGAGCAAAATTCTTACAAGAAAAGTTAAGTTAATGAATACACCAGCGAATATGAATAGCTAAACATTAATGTGCTGTACAATAATATTACAAGCATAGAGAGGCAACTAGGGGAAATAGTATCTAAGTGTGAAATATGAAATTAACATGAACAAATATAAATCTCTACCATTTTAGCATTATAAGAAGACTGTGGTTTAATTTGGTCGTCTGCCCGTTGGTCCGCATGCAGCACTGAGTCCGGTCTCACAGTAACTTGTGATTGAGATAAATCACTCGCTCTGAGAAAATCATCTCGAGTGGTGCTCGAGTTTGTTGGCCTTTAACAACAAATATTTTAAGACATTGATGAATAGTGAAGTCAATGAGTGAAAAAAACAATAATGAAAAGCAAACTATACTTTCTGATGGAAGGTCTTGACATTGTGACGTCAGGTGCTTTTGGCCATGGTGCAGAAGACATTGGTGGCATTGAAGATGATGATTTCTTAGATGTATCTAAAAAGGGTTACTATATTTGAAAAAAATGTAGGTACGGTATATTTAGACAAAAAATTTAATAAATTGTCCCATATTCGTAACACAAGTTATAAAATTTGGCATTCAAGAAGTATGTGTACCAATATGGAGATAACTTAATTTTGTTCGCCTACTTTACATCAAGTTGTGTGAAGGGACGGAAGCCTATGGGCAAGGGGTATATTCACTTGGCTAACACAGACAGTCTCCGAACTCGTATAGAACTAAAATAAGGAAAATTGGAATAAAATTTAAAATTAAATAAAGCCCTAACCCTGGTACACCTAAAATACCTGTAAACCTTAATTTCGAAACTTCATTTACAACAAATAAACAACAAATGAAAATTGAATATAAAAAAAGTTTCGTTATGGTTTTGTTGGAACTTCGACTTGAATATCAAACTACGGTAATTACAACAGCAATGCACTTACTTGAACCTATCGATTCTGCATCAAAATCCTGAGAAACTTTAGGATGTCCTGTCATAAATAATGAATCACCACTCCCACCTACTGCACCAGCAAGTGGACCACCAATCAGAACTCTAGCTTCTGAGGAAGACACGATCACATTTTCAATTGTAGATGCAGAAGATATAAGATCAGGAGATTTGTCCTAGGTAAAAAATATTTTTTTGGTAATATATCATTAAAAAAGTCAAATAAATTGACAATATATAAATTTGTTCAAATCCTTTCTTGTACCTTAGATTTGGACATCATGAATCTTGTGTTTTGCACATCCCCAAACGGTCCCGGTTCATTCATTGGTAACGAATGTAAAATAGAGTGGTATGATGATGTTGGCCCTAGAAAAAATGAAATAAATGAAGCCTGAGACTGAACATGATAGTGTTGGAAAAGAAATATAGGGTTATAAAAAAAAATACAGTAATCTGGAAAATTTTCAAACCTTTTGTGCAAAACGTTCCAGATTACTGAAACATTAGAGTACAAGCATATTCAAACAGAAGTTGAAGTGTTTCAAGTTTCTTCATTTTCGTAAAGTAATGATAAATTGGTACTCCTGAAGTATGTGCACCAAGATGTCGCATAACCTGAACCCTAACCTGGTACACAACCTGAGTTCAGGTTGTGCGCCATCTTGGTGCGCATACTTCAGGAGGTCCAAGAAATTTGCATATTCTGTATTTTGAGTCACATTTTAAGCTGAAGCACATTTTTAAAATTTGAATACATCGGTTCGGGTCAAGTCTAACAAAAAGATTTTAATGTCGCAAGTTACAACAGAGAAGTATAAAACAGACAGGGACAAACTATGGCCCGCGACGGGCCAAATCCGACCCATTGGGTTGTTCAATCTGACCTGCAGAGTGGTGCCACAACCAAACTAAAACCAAATTTTGATGTTTGAGCTAAAAATTCTTTGAGGAATTTATTGAGACCGTGACTAAATTTAGTTTTGGCATGAGGCTTATTGTTTCCCGCATTTGCTTTTGTGACACTGTAAATATTGTTCATAAAATGTAACTTCTTACGTCGCACTTACATGGCCTGCCAGTCTAAGTGGGCAAAATTTTTGACCCTTGGTCCAATAACCTTGCCCACCACTGGTATTAACCCTTTCCATGCGATTTTTATTTTTTATTAAATAATCGTATTTGCTACGCCGATTTTATGCATTTGTATCCCCACAACTAATCGATCGACTAACGAAAAACTAATGATCCTCTGCTGCCCACTGACGGCTCGTTGGAAAGCTTATTTAAAGAGCTTGCAATTGGCGATTAAAAAAAAAAGTTTTTTTAAAAGTGGTGGTCTGAGTCACAAACCGGATAGAAAAAAGGCATTTTTTTTTCTTGGGAGTTGAAACTTCAAACCGTGATAAAAAATAGAAATATTCGCTAAATCCTTTACTGTTACCGCTTCGGGGTTGGCAAACAATAGTATAATATTGCTGTAGCAATTTTGTGATCCAACTCAAAATACTTTGGTAGATGGAAGGAAGAATATGTCTTCTATTACCACCCAAAAAACACCGAAATTTGCATAAATTTCAAAAACACTCCCTCGTTCCGCCGCAAATAAAATTCCCGTCGTAAACGAAAGCGAGATTTACCGTCGCTTATGTTAATCTCGAAGAAGACTTCTTATCAATAAACTAAAACCCGGAAAAACCAGACCAACAGTTTGCGACCGATTGCTAAATAAAACAGTGGAGTACATCACCATACCCGCCGCAATCTAGCAACTTTGGTCGTGGGTACGTATACGTGCCCACCGCACGGGAAGGGTTAAGTCTACACTCACCCATTTCAATAGAAGCCTGTGATGTGCTTAACGATACAAGCGGTGTTGTTGATTGTATTTTTGGTGATTCCAATTCTGGCGATTTGAACAACATACCCTTGACATTACCAGAAGCACTGACACTAGATGGAAATGTTGGGGGTGGAGGCGTAATTGATGATGAAGTTGGCAAGAGTGGAGACTTTTGGTGGGTTGATTCTAAAATTAAAAATATCAACTGTAGTCTCTAGCTAGCGTCAACAGACTTCAGTTCAGACTATTAAACAAATATAATCTGACCTTGCATAGATTTATTTATTTCTGATCCGAACAAGGAAGGATGATCAACACTGAATGGTGTAACATGAGTGAATGTACTGTCAACAGACACCAAATCATCAGGCTGAAACATAAAAAGTCATAAATTAGGTACTAAAGTAACTGATTTCTGTCATGTATTGAATAAAACGTCATTTCTAGATTGGGGAGGCAAACAAAAAAATATTACTTTTACTGTAATATGGAATTGGACAACCTGAAAATTTCAGTGATTTTGCTTTTTTTTGTTTGTTCAATATTTAAAAAAATATATATATAATTGTGATTGCATTTTTGCATCAATTTTTATGTCATTGAGTTCGAAATTAAACAACCTGAAATTGAAATGATTAAGAAAAATTCATTATAAATTCGATCTAAACACAACACAACACCTTTTTCAGTGATGACGTGAAAGCTTCTGGAGTCAGTAACACAGGATGACTGTCAGGTTTGTCTGGGGAAGCAGAAGCTTCACCCTCACCCTGCCCCCTGTTCAACGAATCCTCTTGCATGCTATATTGCCTTCCCCCACTGGGTGAAGAGTGGGCAACTGGAAGCTCATCTGTGACATCACCAACAAGATCCATGACAGTTGTGCGGATTGGTTCATTGGTTGAAAGAGAAATGGGTTCCGCGACAGACTTGGCGCTTTCTTGCATTTCATCTAAAAATCAAAATAAACAAATGTGGGGGATTCTCACTCAACTCTCTCGATATTCATCGCAGCCTGGAAGTTAGAGCAGAAGTGGGCAAGGTTTTTGGACCAGGGGCCAAACTTACTGACCCTACTTACTCAGGGTGTAATAAATTGGGTAGGCGAACTGAGAAGATTCCAGTCCTTCCTAATAATCATAGTCCCCTAAATATCGTTGTCTGTATGCACAGAGCCTTTGTCAAACCGAAACTTGAAACTGACCTTTCTCTGTCATATCTGTTTCATCAACAGCTAATAATGTTGATTGATCACCTTCATTCGCTGTGAGAGCAGTTTTATTTTTGCTTGAATCTCCTTCCTCCTCATCTTCTTCCTCTTGTTGAGGAACTTCCATCAAGTCATCCATAGATTGTCCATTGTCGAGTGAAGGTGAAATTACAGATAATGATTCATCAACACTCACAATGTCTAAAACAGAAAAAGTATAGAAAATTAAAAAAAAAAATGGATATTTGCCGGAGTGAAACTATGGGCCAAGAGTAACTGACACTATAACTAACTCTAGTGTTTCTAGTGTTAACACAAGATTAGAAGCAGTACATTTCAATACAATCAAGACATGCCGGTAGGCACCCAAGCTGATACATGAGGCGGCCCGCACTTCAGTGAATCGCTACCATCCATGCAAAATTGCACCTTTAACAACAACATACTGCAGTGGCCGGGGAACCGAAATGCCAGTTCTTTTTGAACGCTGCGTGTCTCGTGGTATCCTTTTTATGAGCAGTATACAGCGGCTAATAATTAGTCACATTCAATAAAATTCCTGAGGCTGGTTTATTGATTAGCGATATGAAAAATGGCTTGTTTGAAATTGTTTTTACTTCTGAGCGGGGTAGCTATCTTAGAATTTTAATTTTCGAGGTAGTTTACGAGGTATTGGCGACATATTGTGAAAAAACTAGAAATTTCTCAACGATCATGTTTTTTTGCTGATGCAACGGAAACGAAACACCAATCCGGACTTTCGATGAAACGCAAATTACCAGAGTGACAGCATAACCCACATGAAAAATTTCAACCAGATCGGCCCAGCATTTCAGACAATACATTACAGCTAAACAGATAGACAACACGACTGAGAATAAGGAAGATCCAAAAACAGTTAAGATGAAGTGAACTCCACATAACTAAAGTTCTTGGGAAAAAATTTGCGCATAGTATTTTTTAGCATTTTTAACTGTTAATAAAAGTAACATATAATAGGTGAAGAATCCCACCTTGTTCAGGAAAACTACATATGAATAAATATATCTAAATGTCGAAAAATCATTTGGAATCTATTTGGAATAAGTTGTTCTGCGAAATGAAAAAGAAATTTGTCTGAAACTATTATACATTGGTTACATAACTTAAGTAATAACTCACTTAGTTCATCTGAGACAGTGTTGTACGTACTCAATCCCATTGAATCATCATTTGCCAAAGTATTTGGTATGAATCGAATATCAAGGCTTTGTAAACTCCTAGCAAGAAAGAAATGAAATTTTTTAAACATACAGGCATCACCATGCTGGTGGTAAAGTTTTCCCGTTGTGGATATTCTATGTCTACTATAGTAAATGTCAGAAAGTGAGAGCTTTGACTGATGGTAAACTGTACAGTAATTGGTACTCCCATAGTGTGCGTACCAGGCTAGAGTTAGGCCCTAACTTTATTCCGATTTTTCTTATTTTAGTTCTATTACCAGTTCGGGGACTGTCTGTGTTAGCCAAGTGAATATACCCCCTGCCCATAGGCTTCCGTCCCTTCACACAACTTGATGTAAAGTAGGCGAACAAAATAAGTTACCTCCATATTGGTACACACACTTCTGAAGCAACCAGTAACCAACAAAAAAAACAAGCAATATCTTACTTTGTATGAATTGACACAAGTTTAATGAGAACTCCGTTGATTCTTTTTTCAACATCATTGTTCTGTTTATCAGTGTTGTTTTCACCATCATCGTCATCTGAATTTTCATCATCAGAATCTATGTTGCACATGAATGAAAAGTAATTAATATGGAAGATCAAACAAATATATTAACAGAACAAAGGCTCTTTAAGGGTGCAGAAACACGAAAAACTTGAAAAAGGGCGTTAATTTGAATATCTGATTTACAAGAGTCAGAAAAAAAGGCGATTTAAAAAGAGAAACTAACGCTGAACATTCGCTAATCACTGGAAGGGAAAATCGGAATATCAGCAGCATTCTTCTTTATGATAAAAATTTAAAATGTGTCCCATTCAGTAAAAATGAGTTTGCCATCCTTGCTATATAGCACGTTTGTGTGTCAGTATTCCTTTGTCAGTTTTTTCTATTATAATTATGCGCTTATTATATTGTGACTTTGATAGCTTAACTCAGGGGTCACCAAACTTTTTTGACCGCGGGCCGGGTATGACTCAAATTGTGTTGAAACGGGCCGGATGAATATTTTTGTCAATGCAATACAATAAATTCACAAATGTTGGTAATATCGCAGAATATAGATCGAGAACATCCTAGGAAAAAAATTAACAAGATTTCTATATCTAGACAATTATCCTGAGTTTAGCTGTTATCAAAACGTTGCTGTCATGAATTAGAAATGTTACAAAATCCTCGGCAAAAAATGTACGCATCACGTCTGCTCGTAAATATATACTACTACGGTCTGCTAAGTACCGTTACGCCGAGTTGAAATACCTCTCATAAAAACGAGCTGTAAAAACCTGCTGTAGCTTGGAATTCTATGAAATTTTGACATAATTTAGATAAAATAAACAACTATTATCTGGTATTTGATTTTTTTCATTAGCGCATAAATTTCCCAACATTCGACGCTTTTAAAAATTACGCTCCAGTTATACGTAGTGCAAATTAATGATATTGTCTATGGACACCAATAAAATGTATGTGGACGTGTGTATTTCTTTCCTAACTTGATACAATTTTTATGAAGTTCGTACAATCAGCACATCGTTAATTATTACCCACTGTCAAACTATCATGAACAACTCCAGCGTTTATTTGCGACGATCTTTCGGCGGTGTCAATGACCGTTGCCACTTGCCAGAATAAAATTCTGAAATAGTCTCAATATACCATAGATGTGACGCACATCGAAAGATTAGTGATTGATATGTGTTATTTTTCCATATTTAGTTCAGTTCTTATCAAAAAAGGAATACAATCATTATGGAAAAAATTGGCCTGTCGGGCGGTACTAAAATTCCGATATCTCCGTTATTTCTTGACCGTTTATTATAAACTTGGTATTGTTTTCTATTTTTACTCAGATCTTTCCACTGGAGCAGTATTTATTTAAATCGGATGGACTTCAATTTTTTTGTAACATACCTACATGAATATCCGCATTAAAGCAGTACAAAAGTTAGTGTGGCTCTTGAAATTGGAGCAGTACGCGAGGGATTACAGTACTGCACAAAATGCACATTCTACGTTTATTTTAGCACAAAAAACAAACAGTTTCGTCAAAAGCACGCGCCACGAGTGTACAAGTGTATCGCAGAAAACGTTACGTTATGGTAGCATTCAAAGTCGCAAAAACGAAGTTTTGTTTACAACCACGACTGAAAATCTGTCAGGGTGACAAAAGTGTCTGAGCGGATGCGGAAAGGCCTATTATTATGTCACTTTTTTGCATCTTGCCGATTGGCCAATGTTACGAAATAAACAAAGACGACGATGCTCGTGAAAATCTCCCATGGAAAAAAATTTAGCCATTTTTGTGTGTTATTGCGGACCGGATAAAATGACGCCGCGGGCCGGATAAAATGACGTCGCGTAGTTTGACGTAGCACGGGCCGTAGTTTGGTGACCCCTGGCTTAACTTACAAAAATAGCTTGGGTTGAGACTTCCAGGTTTGGAAAGATTCAATTCGGAAATCGTTGATAAAATCAAATTAGTAAGATCGTACCCAGAATTGGCAACCCTAGAAGCCAATTTTAACATAGACTGAAGAAAATTTCACATAGAATTCAAGCAAGAGATAAAACTTAATTCCATAGTCATACCATGAGCTGCTTCCGCTTGTTCTCCGTTTCTATCTTCAGTTTCCTCTTCATCCATCGCAACAAGATTCTTAAATTTATATTTCTGAGCATCCACAATTGCAAAACTCAGAAGTGGTGTTGTCAAAAAATATTGCGCAATAGAATTTAATGAAGCACGACCTTGTTCAAGGTCAGTGACACAACCCATGACGTACATAACCTGATAAAACATAACATAATTTCAAATTATTTAAAATAGCCACACGTTGACTATTATCACTTATTAAATAAATATTGTATTTATTGACACAGAATTTTATAAGCAATAAAAATAATTGAAGATAGGAATTTTAAAACAAATCTAAAATAAGAAGACACCATATTAGAAGTATTTTGGGTGATACAATGGGTGGTTAAAAAGGTATACTCAACTGTCTTGGCAGACATATTTTCAGTTCAAATTCTATACCTCCTATTCTACACCCAGGGTGTAATAAATTAGTTATGCTATGCAGAATTGGGAAGATTTCCGGTCTTCTTTACATATTATCCAGATATCATTAGCTGCTTGTATACAGCTGTGTCCGGAGCACCATTTAAAAACTCAATAACCCAGATTTTTTTTATTAATTCTGCTCTTATTTAATGAACGCACCAACATGGAAACAATACCTTACATGACATACATACATGACAACCTGAACTATTGCCAAGCAAGAACAAATTAATATAAATAGCAAATCAGCTAACTCTACCTTTCTGTTAATGTCTGAAACAATGAGATAATCAGAAGCTGCATGGAGACCGCATTTCAATGCAGGTAATGACGATGAAGTCACAGGAGGAGACTCGAAAGTTATAGTTTGAAGACAAGTCCATGACACAGTGCACCAGATTTTCAATTCATTGTTTTGGCTGCAACCAGTCAACATAAACCTCCAGTACAACCTGGAATAGGAACAATTAACAACATTTTGTTATACCCACGATGAACCATACCTACCTGTGCATCTGGAATAACAAACGAATTAGCTATTCTCACATTTACCTGAATATAGGAACTGCACAAATACTGTGAATCACTTATGATCAGCAATTAATATAAAAATCCAATTGCGTGTAATCCCACACATAGTAGCCGAGTGTGAATTTTAATAGAAATTGGTCACCTCCTCACATAGACAGGTTAGACCATTGGTTCTCAAACTTTCACGATCTGTGGACCCTTCCAAAAAAGAGCTCCACAACTTGTGACTACATGCTCTTCCATAAAAACAGCTAGTTTCACTTTTAAACAAGTTCCCGTCAGCTATTTCATGCCACACGTTGAAGAATTAAAAGCCGACAACCGAAAGCGATTGAATAAAGGCATTACAGCCAAAGAATTAGACAGATCATAGTCAATTTGCTTTAAATTAGTATTGTCATCGTGGATTGTTTCCAGTGTGGGCCTCATTATAGCCCCAGTCAACCGTGGTCCCAGTTTAAGAAGCCTTGGGTTAGACTAAGTACTGAAACCCTCATAATTATCTATCTGTAACTAGAGAAATAGCTTAAATCTTATATATAGCTTACACCAGTTGTGGTTGTTTCCTATCATCACAAAATGTGACGAGAGATACTGGCCGATCACCGTGAGGTTTCCAACGATGCAGACATCTGAAAAAGCATTCTAATTTGTCGTAAAGGGGGTTATGAGAGATGATAGAAAAGCGTGTTGATAATATACTACTCACGTTGGTTCTTCTGTACTCTCTATACTAACTTGCCAGAACTTCACATATCCGTCATGACTAGCGACTGCAACAACACTGCCCTCTGGTGACAATTCACAGTCAGTTATTACCTAAATATTGACACACATTTTATTTTTTGAAATACAAAAATCTCAAGATTTCGAGAAAAGTTGGCCTGCATGCTATTACTGACCTGATTTAGAATGGAGTCAATGTTAGACACACACAAATCATCGCCACATTTCAGTAAAAACTCTGTAGGATGGGATAGAATTTACATATCTATCTGGGAGAGAGGAAAACCGATAAGATGGCTAAATAATATGACCACGGCCTCTCGTCTGGTTACCAGTCCATGTCTAGTATGGGATTAGTTAGCCAATGAATTGTTTCTGGAAGAATGGTTACGTGAACCACCTTACGGCGTGAGGAGCCCAGCAATCCTCTCGCACATAACTATCCCAGCATGGAATTCAAACCTGCGAACCCACACAGGGTAATCAGAGTTGCGATGACAAGCGTATTCCTAACGCTTAGTATGATGCGCCACACCACTGCGCCAGTCTATATAGCTACTGTAATTCAATTTTGAAAGGAAAATACTAAAATATCAAGTTATTATTCTCTCTTACATCATCATGTCCCTTTATTGTCATAAATGTTGATGACAATTTTGATCTGTCAGTTTCATTTTCATCATCGTGAGCTATTTCAAATGCACAATTAATGTCCCATATTTCAACCTGAATAGAATTGAATATTAGTATACAAATATAATAAGATTAAAGGTTACTTACAAATGAGAATGAAAATCATCTATATTATGCATGATATTATTTTAGATTTGTTTTGATTTCAAAGTTTGCACAATTTTGTTTGTAACATTTAAAAATGCTAAAATCTAATTATAAACTTGGCCATATATCATTATATCACTAGTCAATATATTATAGAATTTTGAAAAAGCCATTCCAATAAAAAAAAATTTTATTTGTGATTTTGGGGTACTTTGGTGAATATTGCTTCAAACTATAGCACCTATTTCTTTGGAGATATTCAAAAAAAATTTGAAATTTCAATTTTTATTATTTTGCCTTAAAACCCTCAACATCATCAATATGAGCAAGAAATCACGATTGAACTCACAATATTTCCATGAGTGACAACAAGAAGTCTCCTCTGATTTAGTGGATCAGCCTCCGTGTCATCATCTAATTTCAATAATTCTTCTTCCGGATTAGTGCCATCTATTTCACAATGCATGTATGTTAACCATACTAATCTGTGATACAGGCTAGCACTCGGATCTGAAGACTTCACATGAAGTTTTTTCGTAGACCTAAATATTATTAGTAATAGAAATTATAATATAACTATCAGTAGAGGTTGCGCATGACTAACTCCCAATCCTTTCTCTATGCCTTTGCGCTAGTGGATCCGTATGCATGTAATGCAAGGATGCTGTAGCAGGAATAAAAAACCATGCTATGCAATTAAAGAGTCTTGATGCACACTAACACAAATTTATTTCTGTAACGTTTCGTCTGACCAAAATCAGACTTCCTCACACCTGAGGAAGTCTGATTTTGGTCAGGCGAAACGTTACAGAAATTGCTTGATATTCAAGCACTTATTGTTGACATACATAGTGCTGTCCCCATTTTGTGATAGTTGCCAAATTATAAAATTTCCTTCTTCATCAACTGCTGATATGAGAGAAGATGTCGGATGAGCAAAAGCAACATCGCACACTGGAGCAGTAAATCCACGTAGTAACAAACGATCCGATGTGTTTTTCCGACTAATGACACGAACTGCATATGATCGACCTAAACAATTTTCAAAATTTCAATATACGAATAAAATTCAAATTACATCAGAGTCTCACAAATTCATAAACATATAATGAAAACATACTTTTAATAGCATATGCTGTATAGTCGTTTGTTACGGATACCAATGTTCCAGGATAATATTTGTGTTCCCATTCAAACTTTGTGATTGGACTAATTCTGACCTGAAAAAAATCAATGATAATCAAAAAATATGATAAATAATATCACAGGGAGCAAGATTGCAGATAATAACTAAACTTCGCACCTTGTCACTTCCAGAGGTATCTGCTTCCATATCGGCATTTCCGCTTGTTATTATCGAGACTTGATCACCATATATGGAAACGCATTCACCATCTTTTACTTGGGACAGATCACTAAATGATATACAAATGAAATATATTTATATATGGATAAAATTGCATATTCTCATGTCAGAACAGAATGGCAGTGATAGAAAACTAAATTTGATATTTTTTTTAGACACATGTATTGAAATTCAACTCTTTTGGAAACTGACTTGAAAAGCATACTACAATATTTAATATTCATACCTAATGGCGTACATTTTTTCAGAATATGATATTTACACATTAAAATTTCCAGTTATACAGAACTGCAAAAAGACTATCATATTATAAAACTATATAAAACATTAATATGCCATGCAAAATCAATTTTAAATGGTTTAATCAAATATACCAAAGTCAAAGGAATCAATACAATTAGGCAATATCAAAAGGAAGCTGCATTAAGTAGGTTTTCCATGAAGTAGAATACGAGCCATATGTAGGATTTCGTATGAATGATGTAATAATGTTCCTGTAAATTTATCATGATGTGATTGAAACACAAGTGCCCTTATGTGGGTAGTGTGTGTACCAGGTTAGGGTTACACCATACTTTTATTCCGATTTTGCTTATTTTAGTTCTATTACGAGTTCGGGGACTGTCTGTGTCAGCCAAGTGAATATACCCCTGTTCATAGGTTTCAGTCCCTCTACACAACTTGATGTAAATCAGGCAAACAAAATTAGTTACCTCCATATTGGTACACACACTTCTGGAGTGCCCTTATGTGGATATATCAAAATAAAAAATGAAACTGTATATACTACAATTGTCATTTAAATGGAATGACTATACATATATATATATATATAAAACATCAAACTTTATTTTCTCAGTCTTACTTACATTCTTTGAGAACCACCCACATCCAATGATCCGGAAGGTTCTTCTTCCACAGCATCCTGTAATAACAAATATCTATGAGAATAATCAATCATTAAGTTGTTAATTCTCAAAATCAAATCCCATATTACAGATATATAACATGAGTAATTTATTTGATTATAGCATACTTAGATATGACTAAAATAAATTTTATTATTTTGAGTATTGCCACTTTACCTTCTTTGAATCGACTTCAGAATTTTCTGTTTTAGGTGAGGGTTCTGATTCTTGAATTTCAGAATCTGAAAACAGATATAGTTATGCTGCAGTTTTCTCAATTGCATTTTGTAAGAGGACTAGTGTTACACTTATAAAAAATTATATAGCCTATTTATGTAAAGCATGCCATGATATTAATGTAGCTTACATTGAAACTAGTGACACATACATTTTTTGAAATAAGAGAACCAGAGTTTAGCACAAAAATTTTTTTTAAAACTTTGAATTGCATCACTGGCTATATTTAATCTTATTAAATACTGACCTCCCGAATTTCCATTAATTTTCAACATTCCTTTCAGTTGGTTAGTGAGAACATCTGCAGATTCCTCCTCTTTTCCATTTGAAAGATCCATTAATTAATTTGTTATTATTTTGTTTGAACTGCTCAATTCAAGATTCAAATAATGTCAAGGAATAGATTTAATCAAGGCAATGTATGTAAGTAAGATGATGATCAAAATATATATTGATATATCAGCAGTTATTAAAAAGAAGCATTTTAGTCGACTTCGAAAAGTCACTGATTATTGCATTACAAAAATAGCAAACATGTTTTTCAACATGCACACATGGATGTATCACAATGTTAGCTATTTTGCAAGAATTAATAGTGAAATTCCCATAAGTAATTGACTGAGTGTAATTTGTTTGAGAAATGAAGTTCAGTTTATATATTCAAGATAGCAGCTAAGTAATTAATTAGCTTACGAAATTCCCTGGAAATAATTGAATATGTGACTGAACAAATGCAGAGATACCCATACCTACACAACTCTTCTCTGAGGAAAGTTAAAAGATTATTGAAACCTCTGCATGCGACCAATTTTAAACCATTACTCCATGATGGAGCAAAACAATGGTTTGTAAAGTATGAAATCAAGAGATAATTCGCCACATTAGTGGAATCAAATTAGCTTGCTCAAGTCACATTTTTGTAATAGTTTGGTTTTAACAGCCAAAACCTAAGGCACTACCTAAAATCAAAACTAGACGGGTACACTTTTGAAAATCAGACCGAAGGATGGCCTGATCCATAATGACAGAAGACCAAAACAATTTATTTTTAAAAAAATGGCAATGTTATAAAATAATTCGTTTTTGATAAGTTTCGAATGATTATGTATCACTTGGCAGTGAGTAGGCACTAAGGTAGACCCCAAACTTTCTTTCCAGGGCAATAGACTTTAATCAAAACTGATCTGTTTGAATTAAACATTTGCAGAGGAAGCGTCAGCAGCTTCAACAAAGCTTTCTTGAGGGACTGCAGCTATGGGGTAACATACCAAATGCTTTTTTAAAGTCATTGTGGAACATTATTATCTGTACATTATTTGTATTTACAGTTTAAATACATATAAGACACACACATTATATATGTGGTACTGACTCGATTATGATGAAATCCATCTTCCATCTGGAATTATTATTCTTTCCTGCTTTATACACATGAAGCAATTGTCAACAACTTTTTTTTGCAATCCATGATACCAGTACAGCCGTACCCTATTTTCCATTCACAATTGAAAGACAAAACTGCACAGCTACACAAGATAATATTGGGGTCTAGTATAGTTTATTACCACAAGTACTTCCAGTGAGCGGGCCTTATTACGTCATTGTGACGACGTAGTGACGTAATTTTTGGATGTGGATGACATAGTCAGGTGGGGGTTAGGAATGACATACGCAAAAATTGTTGGGACAGGTCAACTAGAAGTAGGCTACAGAAGTACGTGAGGTACTAAATTATACCAGACCCATTAATTACTAGTGGTGTCACACATATTCTTGCTTATTTCGGCTATTTGGAGTAAACACACAGACACACTTCTACTGAACATCAGTACCAGTAATCCAGAATGTCAGAGTTTATAAGTAATTACAAAACATAGTTCTTTATTTGTATACACGTCTGCATGTACAAGTGCTACCAAACATTGATGTGATTTTTATATCAGTATACAGGTCGTATATGGTTGGTTATTTATGTTTGGAAAAGAGATTGTAACTTCGGTTTCCCAGTAATAAAATCGGTTTCTTGCTGTCTTTCAGTCTTTGGAGTAGGCCTATGGCTGTATGGGTATGGCCCTACTGCCCTATGCGCATTACACATTACAGCATTATGAAAAAATAATTTAATTACATATCACAAATTACAGAATTACAAAAACAGATATCGGCTTGTTTTAGTTGACGGGTCCTGTCACCTAGTCAGCAATAACTTGTAGCTGAATTGTAGCAGCAAATATCTGAATATAGCAATGGAATGAGCCAATATCAGAATATTACACATTTAACCTAATTCCAGAATTCTGTAAATGAACACAATCGCACAAAGAAAATATAACACAAAATACGGGAATGACTTAGGAATGAATATTACAATATTAAACAAATACCGGTACTTAATTAAACACAATCAAATAAAAGAAACTAAGAACTGAAGAAAGTACAACAAAAAATGCAGAACAAAACACGAGATAGACTACCCAAATGAGTATTGCGACCACCCTTTTCTTGAATCAGGCCTGCAGGCTAGATATGGAAATAAACGAAATAACTCGCAACATATAAACAATGACACAAGCCTACCTGTATTTAGGTATTCAGGTAATCATATTGACAGACGCAAAACTGACAAACGACTGAACGAACGAAAAATCCGTTGTCTGCGCCGGTTTTATGTTTAACCGAAGGCACGAGATTGACATCTTGTGGGTGCTCATGAAGAACAACACTACTTTCGTAACAACGTTAAGAACAGGCAGTTGTTCAGATTGTAGATGAATGCGAATATTACAGTATAATAAGATTTTCATATTTATCTCGCGAAGAAGAATATCGATAAGAAGACTCAAGCATATGGAAAACCACTGCCCCTAGTCCGGTTACCAGTTCATGTCGGGTGTAGGAATAGTTGACCAGTTATTAGTTTCAGAAGCGTGTACTTGATGGTGCAGGAACCCGTAACCTATCAGTGGTTACCGGTACGCGAACCACGTTTTTTTTATTTATTGAATAGGATATACCTGTACATATTTATCCCGGGCGAGAGGAAACCCAATAAAACAGCTGATATAAATTTGTTGTCGGTAGATTGGAAGTTTTTACGGCGTATAATTATAATGTGGGGATTGTACCGTTCGAATAGGTTTTCTAGAAGAAAATTTATATGAGAGCGATGTTAATAATCCAGGACAGGGTGGTCCAAACCCAGGCCCGCGGGTTCACAAGTGACCCACCTCTTCATTATCTGTGGCCCGCGTCGCAAGGAAAAACAAAAAATCACACTCATAAAAATAACCAGAAAAACTTTTAGCATATTGTTACATCACTAATGTTACTGAATTGACTAGTGTTATGGCTAGCTGAGGCAACTATCGAAGTTGTATAGTTTGCTCGGCTAGTGTATATTGTAGACTGGCTTCCTTTTTTGTCGGGAATATATGCTAACAAAATAGGCTTCATAAAACACTAAAAATCAAACGAGGAACCTAATAGTCTTGGTTGGTTATGTCTGATAACTAGGTATTAATGTAATGGCCGAACAATATAATTCTAGCCGGGTGTTTTTTCGCAACCAACCTAAACAGTATTACAAAATTTGCTGCCCATATGTTTGCCCAGAAAATTTGGTAATTACCCTTCTGTATCTCAAGTTTGGTAAAATTCGACAATCAATCAATCTGCAGTCATTAGTAAGTTATTTTGGAAACATCGGTTTGAAAAGAAAGATGACTAATTCAAACAAACAACTAAAACGTAAAACTTTCTTTGTCGTGAGTTTGAAATCTTACACTAAATGTAGATATAGTAAGATTTTTGCACGTTTTATTGAGTTTTTTGGTGGATTTTACATGTTCTAGTTTGATAAATGACAAATAATAAATATTGTGTTTGGACAATGAAAATGTTTGTTTTGTAGCCCATTGCACTGTTTACCTATTCTTGGCACTATTGTGGCCCGCGAACAATACAAAAAGAATAATGTGGCCCGCGAGGCCGACATCCTTGAACTACCCTGATCTAAGAAAATGGTCCAAACATGATTCGCTTCAATATTGGCAGACAAAAATCTTTAATCCGAATCCCATTCTTTAGGCCAAATATTTTAATTAAATTTAGCTTTGAGAATTATATCTCGCTTTATTCCTTGTCTTTATCATATTCGATATATTTCACATGTATTTTAGCATCATCCTGCCACGCAGATAACTTCATATTCATAAAAAATATGTATGCTTGTAATACGTGCGACAATCAGTGCACACATGACTGCTTCGAGTGCACAGAATGTGAGAAATCCATTTGGCACCAAAACTTTGAATGGAGTGGACAATGATTACAATTCTAATTATAGAAATTGTGCATTCTATGGTGGTGAATACAATGCCAATCTCGCTTTACAGCGAATCGCGACATATGCTGCATCTCACGCGATGGCTGCAGCACAATCGCAATTTATATGGTAACAAGAGAGTATCTTAATTGAAACCTACAGAGTGTTTATTTTTGCCTCGAGGTTCCTGAAATCTTTGTTGGCGCCAAAAATGCCACATCCGTGCAAATATTACAACCTAATGAATTGAATTAATCAGTACAAGACGATGAGAATGGCCACTGGTGGAACTGGAACTGGTTTTACAGAGCTATCGCCTTGGGTATAGCCCAGTGGTTCTCAACCCGGGGCCGGGGGCTCCCCAATGGGGCCACAAAGCAGTTCAAAGGGGGCCACGACACATGGCTGATAATTGAAAAAAAGCGACTTTGTTTGCATACTTTCCGTTGAAAATAAAATTCCCTGTTCAGCGTTCACCACTGTTTCATTGCCTGAATGGGTTATTTGAGATCGCGGGGTCCATTGTATTCATTTTCTTGTGCATGAATTGTTTGATCATAATGGAATTTGGAATCTACCAGTCAAAATAGTTCCCCGGTAGGTAGGGCTGGGCATTTCGAATCGAATATTCGAATCGAATCGAATAGTAAATTATTCGAATCGGTTCAGACTGGAATTTCGAATCGCCGCCATCTTGCTTTATCTTTCCGCTAATGGTCGAGGTGAATTCCTCAATTTTTTTTTCATTGAAGTCATATTTTTTCAACGAAATTCTAACATATGACTATTTTCTGTAGTGAGTTATTGATAAAACGTGTTTGTTATTCTGTGTGAACGCTCAGTAACCTATCTGAGTGATTTAGTCTATGTCTTCAGTAATTCATTTGTTAAAAGGACCAATTACTATGATAAAGTCGCTTACAATTTTATATTTTCAAGTATTCGAGATTCGATTCGATTCGAAAAAATTATTCGATTCGATTCTGAAATCACAAGGTATTCGAAAATGCCCAGCCCTACCGGTAGGCCGTCTAACCTGTAGTTTTACTAGACTGCGAGATAACCTTCGCTATTGTATTATAGACGCAAAAACCCACTTGTAAATTCCTAATCCCCAAAATACGAAATGAAACGAACCACTGGTATAGCCTATATGGGAAAGGAATTTCACATGAATATATATATAAGACTAGCTTTCACTCTGGAGCTGTTGTAGTATCCTGAATTGTATGATTCCTCTACAAAAAAGTTTGTTTTATGTAATGACCTAGCGGTAATTCTAATTAGGCTACATCGAATTATAATGATGTGCCGCGGGACGGTTGCAACATGGAAATTTTCATGAATTTATCTATTTCTACCCAGCCAGCACCGCAATGGAAAACCCTGAAACATCGGAAATGCCGATTGTAGCGCTTGGCCATATTCAGGGAATCTCATACAATAGAAAAGTCGTGGGAAGGGACGTGAGATCGACAAGGGCCCCTATGGCACGTATCATGTGGTCTCCCACCAATTATTTCAAGGGAAATTTACTCGTCAATCATTTCAATCTTTTTCAAGAAAAAATGTTGGAAATTGTAAATGTATCGATTTAATAACACCAAATGAAAACAACACACACACAACTATGCACAATCAACGCCCAGAAAGTCCGACATTTCCTCTGGTGACAATTTTCGAACCACATAAAAAAAAATGCAGAATAAAACAGTGACAAGTGACAACCAAGACTCCAAAATTGACACTACACAACTTCAATCAGGCGAAAAGTTAGGACATCTACCACAAACACGAGTTTTCAAAATAATTCAAAATACACTTCCATCGAAAGTTCTGGCTGAATTACCAGTGGAAAAAAAAAAGCTTATATTCTATGTCATAGAATCTATGGTGCACAACCAATTCAGTGACGAAAAACGACGAGTTTCGTGGACGAATGCGGCGCGTGATGGGAAAGGCAAGTGAGCTATTGCACCACAGAGATATACGGTACGCATAAATAAGTTTAAAAAAAGTGTTAAATTTGCCTACGAACGCGAGCTGGAAAAACATAGAAATACGATGCTCTTATACCACATTCTATAAACATTCTTCTATAAATTGATCACAGTTTAAAAGAAAAAATACAAACAGTTTCTTCCGAACTCACCTTACCTCATAGCGGTGTATTCATATGGGCAAATTTATGGGTCATTTACCTCACGGAAACTTCAAAGGAAATTCAAGTTTATTTAGAAACTAACATAAACGTACTGAAATTGTTGACAAATTATCTGTCGCCTAAAAAAGCATACATTCGAGTATTGCAACAAAATTTGGAACCATTTTAGCGAGTTTTTGTGCTGATCAGCGTCTGGGCGTATCGCGTTTTTGCAGCACGGGGCACTCAATATTAGCCATTGATAAACGTACAATTTTGGTAAATTTTTTGTTACCTCAACTGTGTTCAAAAACCTCGCAGTCGTTAGATCGAATACAGGAGAACATTCAATATATTTGTCCCCAGTTTTCTTCGTGTTCATGTTTTCTTCGCGACACTACCAGAACGATTCAAATATTTTCCAAGCACATGAAAAAAACTGGTAAACCCAGAAAATTTGATATTTTGCACTGACGAGGTAGCCATCCACAATGCCTTCACATCTTCGTTTCCAAATTCCACACATATTTATTTGCGAACCATCTCCAACAAAATTTGTCAAACTATTTAAAGAATGTCAAAGGTGTTGATATTACTCGAAGAAATTCTATAAGTGGAATGATAAGTGTTAGTACGAAATCTGGATACGCTATCAAACGGGAAGAATCAAACAATAACTGCAATAAAATGTCCTTTTATTTTAAATTACCAGCAAGGACAGATTATTCCTATCGTTAAAACTACCAATGAATAAAATGAAAACACCATCGACACACCCCACCACATTCAGAGATTAAGAAACTGGGACATTCATTAGGTTTGGTGTTCTTAGCGGTCAATTGAAGGAGGCTTCCATACGCCGAAGCTTTAGTTATCAAAATTTAATTTTCTCAGTTCAGTGCTGGAGTCAAAAAACTTTTTACAACCCGGAGTTGAAGTTCGGTTTCGATGGCATCCGAATCTTCAACATCAAAAGTCAAAACTTGATAAAAACTGTTATGAGAAAATCAATCATTTTTGATTTTTAAACTTCTCTTTTTTATTGAAATACTCTGACAAATATTGTTTTAAACATTGATAAGAAAACCAGCTTAAGAAGCATGATATTTTGTTTTTCAATTTTAATATTTAGCCTTTTGTTTTTAAATTCTGGATAAATT